CGAGGAAGCAATAGAAGGATTACTGTGAAGAAACTAGATATTGTTGTTGATGAAGGAGAAAAAGAATTCCAAGCTGAAATCACTGCAATTGCTCAAACTCATCACAAAAATCTAGCTCAGCTCGTTGGTTATTGCAATGATGGTTCAAGAAAGCTACATGTTTATGAATATATGAGCAATGGGTCTCTGGCATATTTTCTGTTCAAGGCTGAGATGCATCTATCTTAGAAACAAAGAGTCAAGATAGCATTAGATGTAGCAAGGGGAATCCCATATCTACATGAAGAGTGTGAAGTTTGTATCATCCACTATAATATCAAGCCTCAAAACATTCTTTTAGATGAAATGTGGATAGTGAAGATATCTGATTTTGGACTGGCAAGGCTATCAATGCCAGAACACTCAATAATGGCATTAACAAGTGGCTACATGGCACTTGAACGACAAAAAGATGCATTAGCAACTATTAAAGTTGACATCTACAGCTATGGCGTGGTGCTGTTGGAATCATATGTTGTAGAAGGAATATAGGTGTGAAGGTTTCTTTAGAAGAGGAAATAATGCTTTCAAGTTAGGTATATAGTTGCTTTGTGACAAGGGAATTGAATAAGTTGGTAGTAGATGAAAATGTGGAATGGAGGACATTTGAGAGAATAGTGAAGGTGGCCTTATGATGTGTCCAAGAGGACTTGTCTTTGCATTCTTCAATGAGGAAAGTACTACTGATGTTGGAAGGTTTGAAGGATATTCCAATTCCTACATCTCCAACCCCTCTTGTTTGATCATTTTTAAAATTATTATTATGTGTAAGCATTTGATTTTGCATTAACTTTGAATTTTGTCTGTGCGTGCATTTGATAATTGTAATTTAATCATCCACTAGAGCTTGCTATAGTCTATGTGTTTAGAAACAAAGGACTTAATTTATGGAAAAAGGTTTATCTGTCTGTCTATCAAACTTTGTGGATTAAACATGATATTCATCCTAAAAATTAATTAAACTCGTACAATTTTTTTTTTGTGATCAAACTCATACAATTTAGTTATGTAGTAATAATTTCTTTTGAAATGATCATTTCTATGCAAAACTAGTTAACAATCACCTACTTATTTCAATAGGAAAGAAAAAGTTCCTTTTTTTTCCCCCTCGACATATTGAGACAGATGAATGGATGATGACCTTGTTTCTGAAGGGAAAATTGTTTTGGAAGGAAAGAAAATTTTCCTCAGAACCATGTGAATCAAATTTCCAAGAAAACAAACTGAGATTATTGATAATGGAGGCCTACCATCATACACAATAAAAAAGAATTATAGGTTTAAAGATCCTAAGAATATATTGAGATAAGATATATGTGAAATTTGGAGTGGTAAGTGTATTTTTTATCATTCACAAATAATAGGTATATATACAGAAGCAGTGCCGCATGTATTTCACATGCCCATATCTCATATCTTAACTATACGATCATTTCTGTCTCTATAATATTATTTTATATCCCTACATATTAGGTCGCCTCTATCAGCATCTAATCAAATCGTATCTTAACCTCTAACACTCCCCCTCAAGCTGGTGTATGCAAATCTGTAATGCCCAACTTGTCCGTGAGCTCCCTAAGTCTATCCTTCCCAAGTGCTAGTTGTTTCCTTGTCTAGATCTTGCAAGGCATTATTTCTCCTAACTGATATCTCTCTTTAACAAAGTAGCAATCCATCTCCACATGCTTAGTTTGTTCATGAAAGACTGGATTCATGGCTATGTGCAACGCAGCTTGATTATCACAATAAAGCGAAGTTGCTTTTTGTTGTAGTGCTCTTAGCTCTTTAAGTAACCACCATAACCAAATAACCTCACTAACTACACTTGCCATTGCTCTATATTCAGCTTCAACTAATGACCTTGCTACTGTATTTCGCTTTTTTGTTTTCCACGACATTGGTGATCCTCCTAGTGACATGAAGTAACCACTACATGAATACCTAGTCAGGGGATATCCTCCCCAATCAGCATCGCAATATGCTTGAAGTTCCAAGCTTCCTTCTGCCTGAAGTAGAATGCCTTGTCCTGGGGTAAATTTCAAGTAACGCAACACCTTTTCTAGGGCCACCATATGTGCATGTTTAGGTGAAGATATGAATTGACTCAGGATATTGACAGCGTACACTATGTCTGGTTGTGTCATTGTCAAGTATTGGAGCTTCCCAACCAGCCTTATATATCATCTAGCATCAAGTTTAGGATCACCTTTATTGATTTGCAACTTGTAGTGCTGCTCTATAGGAAACTGGCTTGGTGTACAATTCATCATGTTTGTTTCTTTTAATATGTCTAGAGTATACTTCCGCTGGCTTACAGCAAAGCCTCGAGGGGACTGTGCAACTTCAATCTCGAGAAAATACTTCAGTTTGCCCAAATCCTTGATGCTGAACATCTTGTCTATATGCCTTTTTGTTTCTCGTATTTTGCCAGCGCCATTACCAGCTAATAAAACATCATCAACATAGATTAGACAGGCCACATATGACGTAGTATTTTGGAAAAGGAACAATGAATAGTCAGCCTTGCTTTGGCGATAGCCAATACCATGAAGCGCTTGAGTGAATTTATGATGCCAATTACGAGATGCTTAACAAAGTCCATATGGTGATTTCTTCAACTTGCATGCTCTTGTCTCCCCCTCACACGCGAAACCTTGAGGAATATCCATAACACGTCTTCATCAAGGTCGCTGTGGAGAAAGGCATTATTGACATCTAGTTGACAAACTATCCAATGACACTTAATAGCAACTGCGAGCAAACAACGAATAGTGACCATCTTGGCAACAGGAGCAAAGGTTTCATGAAAGTTAAAGCCCTCAATCTGAGTAAAGCCACATGTAACCAGACGAGCTTTAAAATGATCAATGTTTCCACATGGCAAGTATTTGATCTTATAAACCCATTTGGAGTCAATAATGTGTTTCCCGAGAGGAGTAACCAGTTCCCACATTCTGTTTGTTTCAAGAGCAGTAATTTCCTTTTTCATGGCTTCATGCTAGTGAGTATGTTGGCAAGCCTGAAAATAGTTCTTTGGCTCATCATAAGTGTCAATGGTTGCCAAAAAAGCTTTGTGAGATGAAGAGAACTGATCATAAGAAATAAAATGAGTAAGAGGGTATTTTACCCAGACGCATGATGAAGTGGGAGCACGAGATGGTTTAGCAGGGGGTTTTAATGAAGCTGGCAAGTCAACTACATAATCTTTAAGATGTTGAGGGTGAGTGCGACTACATTGGTTACATCTTTGCGGAATGGCTAAATCCACCTGATCATTGTTCTGGTTAAATGGAAGACATGACGTATTAGTGGCCTCTTGGGTGTGAGGCGGATTAAGGAGCTTATCTTGTATGGTGTCAGAGGTAATAACTTCAGGTGGGTCATCATAGACGGGGCTTTGAAGTGAAGCCACAGTAGAAGGAGGTGTTGGCATGACTGACGCCAATGGGAAATGATTTTCAACAAAAATGATATCACCAGAGACAAATTCCTTTCAGGTGGCTGGATCATAGAGGAGATAGTGCTACTTGCCAGAGGGGTACCCAATGAACACGCATACACAGCCACATTTGTCCATTTTATAAGTGCAAACGGCATGTTTCGTATAGGTAAGACAACCAAACACCCTCATGTGATCGTAGGTCGGCTATTTGCCAAGTAAAACTTCATACGAAGTGTAGCCATGGAGGACCTTAGAAGGGAGTCTATTGATGATATATGCTGCAGTTTGCACATATTGCCCCCAAAAGATAACTGGTAGGCTTGCTTGAAGACGTAAAGCGTGAGCAGTGTCCATGATGTGTCTATGCTTTTGCTCAATCACACCATTCTGTTATGGTGTATGTACACAAGTGGTTTGTAAGACAATGCCACATTCCCTATAGAAATCATACATCAAACTGGACTAAAATTTAAGACCATTGTCAACCTGTATTTGTTTGGCTTTGCCATCAAATTGGGCTTCTATCATGAGGATAAATGACTGCAAATAGTGAGCCACCTCGGACTTGCACCTCATTAGATACACCCAGAGACCTCTATTATGATCATCAATAATGGTAAGAAAATAATGTGCACCAGAAAGTGAGGGAGTATGATAGCCCCTCCATATGTCACAATTTATTAAATCAAAACAAGAAGTGACTTTATTGCACTAGTACCAAATGGCAAGTGTGTTTGTTTAGCTCGAATAGATGGATTACAGTAAGAATCCTGTGTTCTATTTTTGAAAAATGAAGAATGAATTGAAATCTGTCGCAACTTAGCAAAAGAGGCATGACCCAATCTTAAATGCCACAAGTCACTCGTTTCTTCACTTTGAACCGCAAGTGCAACTCCCCGCTGTTCTAGTGGCTATAGATAGTACAGACCATCTCGGCATTTACCCACTCCAAGCAGCATCCTCGAACTCAAGTCCTAAATGACATAAAAATCAATAAAGAATATTACGACGCAGTTGAAATCTTTAGTTAATATGCTAACTAAAAACAAGTAGCATTTAAAATCTGGTATGCATAAGACATCATCAATTTTCATTTTTAGAGAGAGGATAACACTTCATATCCCTTTAACAGGTATAGCATGACCATTTGGTATTTTCACGGGCAATAAATTGGAGCCTCTGAATTCCGTCAAGGAGGAACGATTCAGAGTAATGTGTACTGAGGCACCTGTGTCAATTATCCAAGGAATGGTATCCCAAAACTTGCCAAACATATGGGCTATGGGTGTAACCTAATCGTTGGTGAGTTTGGTGTCCTTAAAGTCCAAGTTAAGGCATTGCATGAGTTTGTGATATTGCTTTGACGTTAGCCCAGGGATGGGGCTTAGTTCTTCATTGACTTGCACTGCTCATGGAGGAACGCATTTGTCACATTTATTAGTTTCTTTTAATTACTCGGATATCCTATGAGGTAGTAACATTTGTTCTGAGTGTGCTCGAGTTTATTGCAATGATTGCATCATGGTCTATCTTTCTTGCGATCAGTACAATCACTCTGAACATGAAATGCAGCGGCCTCCATCATGGGTTTATGCATGGCCGAAATCTGTCTTTTTTGCTGTTCATCTTTAGCTACTAAATGGCAGGAAACTCCAAGTCTTGGCAAGGGCTTCATGTTGAGGATTTGGGTCTTTATGGTTGTATAGCCATCCTCCAACGCCATGAGAAAGTCATAAAGGTGTTCCCTTTCCTTCATCTCGACCAGTTGCTCCTGTATGTTACACGTGCAGCCTCCACATGAACACTTCAACCATGGTGCAATGGAGTCAATTTCATCCCAGAAACCTTTGAGTTTGTTGAAGAAGGTTGGCACAGATTGTTTGTCTTGCCTCATGTGAGTAATAGCTCGACATAGTTCATAGGCTCTAGGTGCAATACCCTTTCCAAATCATTCTTGAAGGTCAACCTATATCTCACGTGCCGTCTTTGCATAGCGAACACTACTCTGGACCTCTTTGTCCATTGCACTCTTCAACCAGCCGATAACCATGGCGTTACAACATAACCAATAGTTCAGGTCGGAGGAATCAACGGCTAGCATCGGAATTGAGTCGTCCACAAAACCAATCTTGTTTTTTGCGAATAAAGCGTTACTCATATCAGTGACCCACTCGCTGTAATTGTTTTCACAGAGAAGCTCAGCGACATATACTTTCCCCGGATTGTCAGAGGCGTGAATGTAATATGGCGACATGACATCAATGCTATCGACTGATGAAGTTTTCCACATGGAATCATCCATTCTCATTGTGGCTCATAGACCTAAGCTCACAAAATTCGGTTAACAAGATCTACGCTCTGATACCATGTGAAATTTAGAGTGGTAAGTGTATTTTTTATCATTCACAAATAACAGGTATATATACAAGAGCGGTGCCGCATGTATTTCGCATGCCTATATCTCTTATCTTAACTACATGATCATTTCTCTCTCTATAATATTATTTTATATCCCTACATATCAGGTCGCCTCTATCAGCATATAATCAGATCGTATCTTAACCTCTAACAATGTATGACATATATATTAGCCAAAAAAAAAATTTAATAACTTGCCCACAAGAATTTCAATGTAAATATTTCTTTAATATGCTTCCTATATACAATAGGGAATTTTTTTTATTAAAAAAAATTGCAATAAGGTCCCATCCAAGAGATTTTATTTGTTTAATTATCAAATTGTCCTTTTTTAAGTATGCGTTGACTACTGAAAGAGAAGTCATTAACAAATTAAACTGTAATGATCAACAATTATCATGGCAGTTATTAACAACTCATGCATAATATTTTTGTGATGCGCTGAAAAAAGGTATTGTTAATATCTACCGCGATAGTAATATATTCTTCCGGTCCTAAATATACGACCCCTTTTATAGTGTTTTAGGGTATAAAAGGGGTCGTATATTTAGGACCAGAGGGAGTAATATTTTTATGTATAGATGTTTAGTTTCGAAGACTTAAGTAATTAAAATAAATATTATAAAGTTCAAGATTTCATAATAACTTAAGCGTGAAAAAAAAAAATTTCTGAACTCTGGTCAATTGTCCAAGGCATTGACGAAACACTTGACCTCCGAAGTCGTTTTCCTCAATGAAAACAAGACAATAGATTAGTGTTTGACCCAGGCGGACGAAATCAATTTTGCTGAGCCGCCCCTACTCGCAAGCCAAATCAAACTAGATGTGGGACAGGAAATTTAGAAGTTTAAGTGGCAAACAAGTGCTTTATTAGTTATAGTTATAATGTAAAATAGCATCAACGCCTTAATCTTATTTTTCAGGTGTATCTAATGTCATGGTTTAGGAGATGTAACTAAAAAAATTAACATCGGAATGTTAAAAATATGCGCTAAAAAATAAGGTTAGAGTGTTGAATGCATCATAAAAAAAAAAATTAAGGTGCTAGATGTATCTAAAAAATAAGATTGGGATGTTGGTTGTATCTTTACCTCTTTCTTATATGATCTTCAATTATTATTCTTCTAAAAATGAAAAATTTTACAAAATGACTTAAAGGGTGAGAAATTTCATAAGGAGGATCAACTCTACGAGCTTATAGTAGATTTTAAAATATGCAATCGAGTTGACAGAAATCTTCAGAAATCTGCATTGATAATTCTTAAGTCAAAGTTTGATTGCAGATCCGTAACGGACCTTAGCTTCAAAACTTGATCATTCCTCTTGAATATCTTACCCTTCATATGCACAATTTTCAACAAAAACTAAAACGAACGTTGTTGAAGAAAAGTCAAGGGCCATTTATACCGTTCTGTTAAAAGTCATTTTTATATTGCTGGGCGAAAAAAGTCAACAAAGAAGTGACAGAGTGCCAACACATAATAAATTTGTTGACCCACTCTTGGACAAACCAAACCAGATGGAATACGTTGTATGTTGTTGCCATTTGATTGATTTTAATACAGGACGTTCATATATTGACCAAGTCAATTTGTTGCCCCCTCTTACCCAAATGCTTTCCAATTGCTACTCCAATTAGCTACCTCCATGTTCAGATTCTAGTTTAGCTGGGGAAAAAATCCTTCAACTGAAGAAAGTCAAGATAATAATGAGTAATAGTTAATACTGTGACAAGTGCAACTTCGCTGCGCCTTCCCAAGAAGAATCGCAAGTAGACTTTCATGGGTAAGACCTCTAAGATTAGTGATAACAGTAGATTATGGCCATTTTGGTAGCAAATTGAAAATTACTTTGTTTATCAGCAACTCTTCTTCTCTTTAATTGTAGAGTACCTATGGCTACCGTTACTTCAAACATCTACTTTCTTAATAGCGGTCACAAATAAATTGCAGAATTAATAGAAGCCTCAAAAATTCCAAAGGTTTTGTGGTCCATGGCTGGTCACTTCTATGAATTGCCGTGTTATATACTCCCACCTACGTAGGAGGGGAAAAAATCACTTCAGATAATCCAGAAAAAAATATTAAAAGTACTTATTTTCCTAATATTGTTTAAATTGATTTTTTTTCCTGAAATATTTTTGGTATAATATTATTTAAACTTTTTTCTCTCGTGACCATAATGCATTTTGAATAAAGAATAAAATTTAAAGAATCTTTTTTAATCATTAAAACCAAGAAATTAAACTCATCTCAAAATTTTCTTATGTTTTAGATCTATCGGAGGAAGCGCATATGTTAGAACAGAATTAACAGGGACACCGTGCTCAGAAAACGTGCGTAGATCATATTGCTTAAGGTGTTATAGTTTTCTTTGGCCAAAATAAATCCATTTTATTGATAGCCAAACAAAGCAAGTTCAAACACTAGCAGTGGAAACGAAAAAATGAAGGACTTAAAAAAAAAAAAAACCAATCTGATATGAACTAACAAACCAAAACCTCACGCAAACAAAATATTACCTAATCACAACACAAATACAATGACTGCCTATTTTTAAGATGCATTTTGTACTATAAATTACTTCTTACATATGAAAATTTGTTTTGTTAAGGGGCGTAAAACATGTTAAGGGGGCGGTATATGATAAGACACATGCTTAAGATCATCAGGCACAACAAAATTTTTTTGAAAAAGTTATAATAAGATCTCAAAAAAGAAAAATAATTACAAAATAAATTTAAGAAGTTGTCATCACCAAGCTACTTAAGTTGTTATTGGGAATTTTCAAAAATTATATTTCTTCTTTAAAACTTGATTGTAATTCTTCTAATTTATTTAAGGGATAATTGCGTTTGTGAAAAGAAAATTGTATTGCTCATGTTCTTTAATGTTTTATTGGGATTATGCGAATTTTTGACATTGAGGATCCATTCCCTCAAAGAATTATTGAGCATGTCTACACGTGCTGGGAAATTTGTTTCCTTGAGCTGCTACAACAACAAAAATTAGTCCATGTAAACTGTAATCATTTGTGTTTTTGTGTCATAAACAAGGATTAGATTTGTAAACAAAGGTTTATTATTTGAAATTTTTTGAGTTATTAAATAAATTTTAATTCAATTGTACACTTATGACTTGGGATCTAATTACCTTGTTTATGGTTTAATTGGTGGTTATTTATGATATATATTGTACATTATTTATATATATATATATATATTGTATAATATGTTTGTTTTGTGGTTTAATTGGTGGTTATTTATAATCTATGTAAAAGACCTTTATTTGCAGCTACAAGTAGACCAAAGCTTATAGAAAATCATATTGCACAAACACAATAATAAAAGAAAGCAAATGATGACAACATGAAATTCACTCCCTTTTTTTTGGCCCAGCAGGGGAATGTCAAAATTAATTTTATAATTCTGTTTTATTCCCAGCAAATAGGTAGATGTAAGCAAGCTTAAAGAAAAAATTACACAGAAACAAAAAATAAAAACAAATCAAATGAAAGCCACATGAAATTGCAACATCTTGTTCGCTTTTGTTTCCTAGCAAAAGGGATGGTGTCAAATAGAATCAGAAGATGGACAAGGAGGAATAGCCACTTCCGTAACTCCCTCAAGCATCAACACCACACTCTTCATTGATGGCCGAAGAAAAGGTTCATCTTGAATACACCATAACCCCACTTTCACCATATTTTCCAGTAAATTATTATCCACTTCTTCCCCTACAACCAGCTTGTTTAACTCTCGCCGAGCAAAGCACTTGCACACCCAATTAGACAGAACAATTTGCTCCGGATTCGACACATTGACCACTAAGCTTCTTCTGCAAAATACAATCTCCAATAACATAATTCCATAGCTATAAACATCTGCTTTTACTGTTATTGGAGTGTTCTTACTCCATTCCGGAGCTAAATAACCTCTTGTCCCTCTAGCTTGAGTGAAGGTTCTTGTTTGATCCGGCATTAAAAGTTTGGCTAACCCGAAATCTGATATTTTAGCTGTCAAAAACTCATCCATCAATATGTTTTGAGGCTTTATGTCACAGTGAATGATGGGAACACTGCATTGTTCATGCAGATATAGTAAGCCTCTCGCAATGTCCAGTGCTATTCTTCTTCTCTCATCCCAATCTGGACGTACCGTGCTGCCACCAAAGATGAACTTCTCAAGGGAGCCATTACTCATGTACTCATAAACTAGAAGCCTTTTAGATCCCTCAGCACAATATCCCAGCAAGCGAACTAAGTTTTTGTGGTGGGTTTTTCCAATAGCTTGCATTTCAGCTTGAAATTCTCTCTCCCCTTCATCAATTAACCTGTGTAGCATTTTTACAGCAATCAATTTTCTTCCTTCACGTAAAGTTCCTCTGTAAACTGATCCGGAGGAACCCCTACCTGCCTCTTGTTTGAAACCATTGGTTGCCTTCTTCAGCTCATTGTATGAAAATACCCTCAAAGTAGTCCCTTCGTTCAAGCCCAAATCTCTCATCTCCAACAAACTTCGGTAACTTAAAACACCAATCTTGTAAATTAAACGGCCGGAGATTGCAATAACTGAACACAAAACAATAGCAAAACCAAAGACCACGACAATGATCTGCACAATTGCTTTCTTACTGGTGGTGTTGATGGGTTTGTGTGTGGAGGGTGTATAGTTGCTTTTGAGGCTTTGATTTCCCACCTTGAAGTATATTGTGGTGTACTCGGTGAAGGAACCGCTTCGGTAGATGATGGTGGTGGAGGAAGGATCTCGTGTTTGTCTTTTGACATATCTCAGCGGTAGCTTTTGTTTCTTGCATCGGCCGTATTCATATAGTGCAGCTGCACAATAACAATCTTTCAAACAAGAAGATTGGCATTGCTCCTCCTGAATTTCTTCCTCACTGTAAGGAGAATCGCCCCAGGCCATCCTACTCATGGCAGACATGGAATATAAAGCCGCATTATTTTCCCCACCTCTGCATTCAGCTTCTGAGAAGTTCCTTTTGCATCCAAGATTTGTCTGACTCGGATCTATGAAGTCAGTTCCAGGAATACAGTTGCAGTAAGGTTGGTCGTCATTGGTGGTACAATAGCTGTTGAACCCACAAAAAGTCTTCACATTACAAAGATCGTCCAAAATTGATGGTGACCATAACTTTTCAACTTGATGCTTCCCTTTGCCATTGTCAAAATGAGCATAGAGCCGCAAAATGCCATCAGAATGGAGAGTGAGACGGTAAATGATTTTGCCTATGTTTGTTAAGTTGTCACTCGGAAACAAATCATAATTCTCATCTATTTTACCCTTTGGCCAGACTTCGTTGTAGGAACTAGCAGTGACATTAACGATACAAAGAGGATAAGGGCCTATGTTGTTGAGGAAAAGCTGATATTTGGAAACAGTATCATCGTACCTAGTTTGAGACGCCCAGTAGGCATCCCAACTTGTGTCACCAGAATATCGGGAACGCAGAGCAAGGTTTCCATCATGCTGAATCGAGAGCTGAAACCTTCCAGCAGAATGGTTGGTGTCTGATGAACTAGACACCAATTGACTCCCACTAGGTAGAAGCTGACCACCTAACATAGTATCAGTTGGATAATCGAAACTCTGCCAAATGATGTTGGAATTTTTGTCGCGTAGAACAAAGTTTCCAAAATCAAGCATGGAAGCAGAGGAAACAGTTCCATTCTTACTATGGGCAATAACCTTCTGTTGTCCTGGACTTGTTTGCAGAAGAAGCTCACCTCGCATGGTTAGAACAAGCCTTGCACTTGAGGAGACAGGAGGGTCATCACGATTTGCGGTCCAGACGATTGTTTTATTAATCCCATCGAACAGCCAGATTCCAACTTTGAAGCCATTCCCTTGATGATAAAAGCCAAATGAAAATTGACCCGAAGGTGAAGACCATGAACTGGGACGAACAGGACACAGGGAAGCGCCAAGCTTTATGATTTGATTTGCGTGCCCTGTTTCAAACCTTCCACATAGAAAAGATACCAATAGAAGAAAGTAGATGTTTGATGCAGCTGTAGCCATGGCCGCTAAAATCTCACAGAATTGCAGAATCACCGGTGAACAAAAAGAATTGGTCTCAAAGTCTTCCAAGTCTTCCTCGAAAGTGTTGAGAAGCTTCCAATCTGTCATAAAGACTTGCTTCTATGGAAGGATTGTTTTAATTTAAATTAGGGTAAATACCTATTATAATATGAAAACACAGCATTAGATAGGGTAATAAAATGTTAGATGTAAAATTACACATGAAAATTGTCATGTCCGTTAAATGCTGCAACATCGGATGTTTTTTCCTTTTATGGGTCCCACCAAATGCACGTGTCAAGGCCTTCTATCTCTCTCGTCTTCGTTGACTCTCTCCCCTCAACTTTTTCCGTCGCCAACTCTCTCCTTCTCTCATTTCTCTTTTGTCGTCTTGCCAAGCTCAATGCTTGATGCGAGTCATGGAGGCTAACTCCATACAGGGGCTGAGTCCAGCAGGATTAAGCTACAGTGGGTTTGTGTGATACAATATAGCAGTTTAGGTAAATGGTGGAGAGGGTTGTGCTGTGCTGCTCAGGCATAAGCATGGAAGAAAAGGACCTGAAGGAAGGGCTTTTCTCGGTGGACTTCGAACAAGCTATCAGCATATTGGTGCCCCAGATGCTAGAGAGGCTTAAAGAGCTCCTTGGCTTCACAATTTCTGGACCCTCTACGGTGGCTTGGTTGCCTTCTTGTCTCTATTGATTTCATTGATGTGAGGAGCTACTTCTCTGTCTTTCTTCCTTTTCATTTTTATGAACCCATTTAAACATCTTCCATTGAGTAGTACTGAGGACAGTGAAAGCTACTGCGTAGCATATGTAGCGTTTCACCACCATCTGACAAAAGTTATATACTCCTGTATATATATGAAAGATATGGAAAATTTTTCTCGTCCAAGAGGAATTAATATTTATTATAAGACAAATTAATTCATCGTTCAAACTTTATTTTGATTCGGGAGTTTATAGAGTTTATTCCAAACAATAAATTATGGAACATTTTTTTTTTGGCACACAGTGTCTGTCTGCAACATGATGCTTCTAATCAAGTCTTACGTTTTGGCTTGCTGTATTATGAGCTGACTCTGTTTTTTAACAAACTTTAATTCCTCTGTTTTTTGGTGAGAGAGAGTGAGAGTTGACGGGGAAGCTGAGAGCTTGGAGGGAGAGCCAAGGGAGATGAGGGATATAAAGGATAAGAAGGGAGGAGAGACAGAAAAGACGAGATAGTTAATCATAAGAGGAATTAAAAAGCTTACACGTATGCATTGGTGGGACCCACAAAAATAATACTGGAAGTTTAAAGTATTTAACAAAGATGACATTTTTGTCCCTTCCCCCTTTAAATTCATCTCTAGAACGATGCTAAAACACGCAACATCTCTAGAAATATCATAAATGAATTGGCCCCCTCGTTCATAAATAAGTTTTGGAACTCATGAGGGTGATGAGTATCATCACATTCATTAAATCTTAACTGTTAAAATTTAATATGAATGGTCAAGATTTAAATTTTTAAACTTTTTGTTTTTTAAAAATGATTTTTCTTTAATAGGTACATAATACAAAATAAATGCAGTCTCTTAGTTGTAATATTTTCAAAAAAAAAAAGTAATTTCTTTATTTAAAAATCATAAGTTAAAAATTTTAAATCTATGCTATTAAAATTGTATTTAAATAATACAAATTTTACCATAATAATGAGTATGATGGTACTCATTATTGTGCTGAGCATCGAAACTAGTTCTCTCATTTGGTACTGATCACAATGATTAGCACCATGTGCTCATCACCATAATATAATTTAGACCATCTAAAACTCAATATGAATTTTTTAGTTCTATTTATAGATTACATCATTAAATTTTTAACATGAATACACTATTTTATCTTTTTGTTTTCGCCAATATTTTATTTTTCATTTATTATATTGTGGATTGTTATTTTTTGGAAATTATATATTTCTTTCAGTCCTAAATATAAGACCCATTTTGTAGTGTAATTTACACTACAAAATGAGTCTTATATTTAGAATTAGAGGAGTATATTAAATAGTATAAAAGTTAGAAAATTGTTATATTTTAATATAGAGTTAATCCAGTTTAATATTTTTTTGTCTCCAGTTTAATATTTTTTGTCTATGTGAAACATATTAAAAATGCCCTATAAATAGAAGGACCAAAGAAGTATTTTATTCTAAGAAGAATCCCACAAAAAGAAATTTAAAAATATTAAATCTCTAATAAAGAATTTCTGTAAAAATGTGTTGTTGTTTACAATCCAATATTGTTAAAATTTATTAAAGTGTTGTTACTAAACCTAATTTAAGATTTAATAATTTTAAACTCCTTTTGTGAAATTCTCCTTTTATTTTATTTTATATTCTTTTATAAGATCCTAATAACCAAATTGTGTGCTTTGAAAAATCTATTGAAATTAGTTAACAGTAATAAATATGTAAAAAAAATATTTCTCTTCCCCAAAACATGCCATTATTTATACTAGGGCAAGAAAAAGAGAAGTAAAGAAGAAAAAAATGAAAAAGAAAATATATAAGAAAAAGGTAGTAAAAGAGAATAAAATTAAGGGTCAAGATATATAGTATTGTGAATTATTTTTGTTAAAAAAAGTGAAGAGCGTGTCAAAAATAGTCCCACATGGAATGGTTGAGAGAAAGTTCAAGTGTATATATAAACTCAAGCTCCCATGGGGGAGTAAATGGGATAAGAGGAAGGACAGGCCATCGAGAGGGAAATGCAATTGAAAACTGGCAACTTTCCCTTTGCAAAATTATCATTAAAAGCTCTTACCAAAAAAACCTTATTTTTGGGTTCTTAAAGTTGGAAACATTGCTGTTTTAATTTTGTGGCCTACCGGACACATCTTGTGAAGCTCGTGGCTAAGAAACATTAGATGTGCCAAACTTTTGGATGTTCCATCTCCAACAAAAATGAGCGTCGTTTCTATCATGTCTGTTTGGGGGAACGAAGGGGCATGCTTTTCAGTTCTGTGTGTCTGTTCACGTCTATATATAGGCATGATGAGGGAGTGTGAAATATACTACGGTGTTGTCTCCCTCCTCCTCTTGTGCTCTTGCCCTCCCGTGTTACTTTTCTTCTGCAATTCTGTCACCTTGCTATCTTTCAAGAAGGGTTCTTTACTCTTAGGAATGCCTCTTCCTGAGTTACAAAGGGAGTTACGGAATATCTCTTAAAGACTGTATCCTTGTGACGTGACTCGAGCCATTGAATTTCTGTGCTGCCACCAACAACCTTAAGAGATATTCTATGTCATGGTTGAAAATAATGAAATTCCTATCACCATTCCTGTCAACATCCCAACTGGGATGTTGCTTCCCAGGCCATTTCTAGATATGCCCAAGATAGAAATATTTGATGGGGAGAACTTTAGGAGGTGGCAGGAAAGTGTCTATACCATTCGAGATGTGCATGGAGTCATCAATGCACTTACTGAATTTGAACCTGCTCAGGATACTAACCAAGCCCAAAAGGATCTCTAGCAACACACTAATAAAATATGTAGACATACCTTGATTAGTACTCTGTCTAATGATTTGTTTGATGTTTATAGTATCTACAAAGAGCCAAACAAGATATGAGAGTTGCTAGTTCTTCAATATATTGTCGGGTATGCCACGAAGTAGAAATTCGTGATCAATAATTTCTATAGATGCGAAATGACCAAGGGCAAAGACATCAAACTCCAAATCAATAAATATCACAAACTTCTAGAAGAACTTTAGGTTGAAAAGATCAATCTCCCTAATGAGTTTGTTGCTGCGATCTTGCTTGAGAAATTGCCAAGTTTATAAAGTGACTACAAACAACAACTAAAGCATAAGTACAAATAGTAATCACTCACCAATCTAATCACTCATTTTATAATTGAAGATACAAATTGGAAGACACTCAAACAGCAAAATAGAAAAAGATGGCTGCCAAAATATATGTGGTGGAAACAAAATCCCACAACAAGAGGTATAATCCCAACTCTAAGAATAAGAAAAGCAAGAAGTCTGATTACAAACCCAGGGATTCTAACCCCAAGTTCAAGAAGAAGGGAAATCGTTTTATGTGTGTCAAACCAGGGTATTATGTGGCACAATATAGGAAGAGGGCTAAAAAAAGTTTTAAAAAGGATGAAAATCCTCTTAAGCTAAATAAAAATTTGGTTAAAGGAGATGATAGTGCTAGTGATGAAGTCATTATTGCAATGCTTTCTCAAGCCCACCTCATCTCTAATGTGAAAAGATGGGTGGTAGATTCATGAGCCACTAGGCATATTTGTGCAAATAGAGAGATGTACACTTCCTTCGAAGAAGAAGATCAAATTTATCTTGCTAACTCTCAAACTGAAAAAGCTTAGGGAAAGGGAAAAGTGATGCTGAAACTCACATCTGGAATGTCTCTAGTGCTGAATGATGTTCTGCATGTGCCTAATATTAGAACAAATTTAATTTCTATAGCTCTACTGGGAAAAGCTGGAGTTAAAGTGTCACTTGAATATGATAAGATTGGCATGACAAAGAACAATGTTCTTGTAGGGAAGGGTTACTGTGATCAGGGCCTCTTTGTACTAAGTGTTGATATAAATAATAATGCATCTTCTTCTGCTTATTTAATTTATTCTTTTGATATGTGGCATGCTGGATTAGGGTATATCAATAGGAAATACATAAAAAGGTTATAATACCTTAAACTAATTTTTGAAACAAAAAATAGTGATATTAGTAAATGTGAAGTTTGTGCTGAAACCAAATTGAATAAAAAATCACATTTTCCCACACAAAGCGAAACAGAGTTGTTATCTTTAATCCATACTGATTTAGAGGATTTAAAATAAACAAAAACCAGAGGTGGTAAAAGAGATTATATCACTTTTATTGACGATTTTTCCAGCTATACTAAGGTATACTTCTTAAGAAATAGATGAGATAAAGCTTTTGAGAAAGTTACATTGTACAAGGATGAGGTAGAAAACCAATTAAATAGAAAAATTAAAAGAATTAGATCTGATAGAGGAGGAAAATATTTATTATTAAATGATTTCTGTGAGAGAGAGGAAATAATTCATAAAGTAACACCTCTA